TAAGTGCTAAGAGAAAAGTATTTGGGTAATGATAGAAAAACAAGTTGGGTCCTGTAGAACGGTGAAACAGCTAGTCAGTTCAATACATCTGTTGGGTATAGGAAGAGGAGAAGAAGGAAAGAAAGATGGAGGTTATAACTACTGCTCCGTAATCACTAAACATCGCTGGGTTTATTGATGTCACCATCTGCACTTCAAACTCTCCTCTGGTCCTAATGAAGAAGGGTAATGCCTCTATCCACTCGGTTTTCGATCCTAGACCGTATCTGCCGTTTATTTTGAAAGTGAGATGACTTAGATCGTCATTTTGAAAAACGGCAAAAAAGGTTTCTTTTCGTTTTTCGCTTTTTTTTTTGTTTATGTCTAAAGAAAATAAAGCAACAAAAAAAAGGCGCATGGTGCGGCAAATTTTGAAAGTGTGCAAAAACGAGTTCAAAAGTGTTGCCTGTTGCTGCTATCGGCTGTTGCTTTCACAGTCGTCGTAGTTTTCGTTACCATCGACGTCGCCGTCAGTCACCATTGCCATCACCACTATTGCCACCATCGTCATCGTCATCATCATCATCTTTTACATCATCAGCAGGACTTTTGCGCTGATTTCCAACATTTTGCGTACGACTGAACGACGTGCGTTACGTTCGTCCTTTATTGTCAAAAACTTTTATTTCTGGCTTTTTTCGATAAATATTTTGCATGCATTTTGGAAATACAGTTCTGTATATTTTCGAAAAGTTCGTTCCACCTGCTATTAAAGATGGATTTTATATTGGAAGGTGGAAAGAAAACGGGGACTGCTACCAATCTTTCTTCATTCGTAACTGTTTGGTTTGGAACTTTGACTGCTGCAAAAATCCGGGTTTTATATACGAGTAGTTTTTAAGTTTCTATTTGACACTTCACTTTAGCAACATTCAACTGGATCCTTACGCGTTAATGACATCAGTAGTAGAGCTGATTTACAGCAAAAAAAAAGTTAGGGATTTTTTTTTTTCGAAAGAAGGCACTAACCAACATGTTTTTGTGGCCAGAATTCATTTCGCGTATCCTTCGAATAGCAGCGACATTATAGAATGTCTAATTTTCTTCCAGTTGTCCTCATTTGGTACATTTTTTTGTGTAAAGAAGTGTTTAGATTTTGATGTACTTTCATTTTGTTTCCAATATTGTCAAGGTTCAGGTAGCGGTAAGTTTCTGTCGAATATTCCCCTCCAGTGTTTTAGTTGTAAAAGTTTTACACAGGGCTGAAAAGAGCGTTTGGCGCTATCGGCCTGTAAATATCGGGCGAGCGTCAACGTCTCATATTTCCATCATTCATATGTGGAAGTTTATTTTCAGATAAGTTTATTTTAAACGTGTATCAACCATTAATAAGATACGGGGATATACTCTGTCGTCCATAGATATTAAGTTGTCGGTTGAAATTAGAAGGTCTGATTTAGTTGGCTAACAAATCGCCTCAACGTTATTCTGACTTGATTTAGGAGTAGCGGAACCTGATTTTACAAAACATATGGTGCAAAAATTTTATCATAAACTAGTTTTTTTTTTACGTTGTGGTCACTACGTAGGCATTTAAAAGTAGGAAAGATGTGACTCTAACAAAGGGCAGTCGGAATATACAGAAAGTCGT